ATGAGTTGCTGGAAATTGCAGGTGGGCAGAATGCTCTGGTCCTTGAGACCTCAAAGGGTGCTCATCAATGGTTCCTCTTCATCCTGGAGAAGAGTGACTAGTGGGGTGCCACAGGGTTCTGTCTTGGGCCCGGTCTTATTCAACATCTTTATCAACGACTTGGATGATGGACTCAAGGGCATCCTGATCAAATTTGCAGATGACACCAAACTGGGAGGGGTGGCTAACACCCCAGAGGGCAGGATCACACTTCAAAATGACCTTGACAGATTAGAGAACTGGGCAAAAACAAACAAGATGAATTTTAACAGGGAGAAATGTAAAGTATTGCACTTGGGCTAAAAAAAATGAGAGGCACAAATACAAGATGGGTGACACCTGGCTTGAGAGCAGTACATGGAAAAGGATCTAGGAGTCTTGGTTGACCACAAACTTGACATGAGCCAACAGTGTGACGTGGCAGCTAAAAAAGCCAATGCAATTCTGGGCCTCATCAATAGGAGTATAGCATCTAGATCAAGGGAAGTAATAGTGCCACTGTATTCTGCTCTGGTCAGACCTCACCTGGAGTACTGTGTCCAGTTCTGGGCACCACAGTTCAAGAAGGACACTGACAAACTGGAACGTGTCCAGAGGAGGGCAACCAAAATGGTCAAAGGCCTGGAAATGATGCCTTATGAGGAACGGCTAAGGGAGCTGGGCATGTTTAGCCTGGAGAAGAGGAGGTTAAGGGGTGATATGATAGCCATGTTCAAATATATAAAAGGATGTCACATAGAGGAGGGAGAAAGGTTGTTTTCTGCTGCTCCAGAGAAGCGGACACGGAGTAATGGATCCAAACTACAAGAAAGAAGATTCCACCTAAACATTAGGAAGAACTTCCTGACAGTAAGAGCTGTTCGACAGTGGAATTTGCTGCCAAGGAGTGTGGTGGAGTCTCCTTCTTTGGAGGTCTTTAAGCAGAGGCTTGACAACCATATGTCAGGAGTGCTCTGATGGTGTTTCCTGCTTGGCAGGGGGTTGGACTCGATGGCCCTTGTGGTCTCTTCCAACTCTATGATTCTATGATTCTATGACCTGCTTGCAGGCATCTGGTTGGCTACCCTGAGAACAGGATGCAGGACCAGATGGGCCAGTTTCAGTAGGCTCTTCTTCTGTGCTTATGAAACCCTCCCAAATGCTCCAGTGTATTTACAGGCTTGACTAGGAAATGTGGTGCCCCCCCCCATATGTTGTAGACAACACAACAATCTTCCTATCGTTCCTGACCATTGGCCACGATGGCTCGGGCTGATAAGCCCACAGCTTCTGGAGAGCATCACATTGGGTTCCCTCTTCTGTACTGTTTGCCAGCACTCATTTTGCAATTTTTTGAAATGCGGATGCTTTTTCAAAGCATAGGTTCATTGACCATATCTCACAAGCTCTCAATTTAAAATATCATTCTTTTGTGTTGGAACTCCACATAGCTTGCTTTTATGTCGGAAGCACCTCCACCCCCACTGCCCTTATCCTCATGCTTTTATTCATTTTAAGCAAAGTCTTCTCCTGACATAACATTCTTATATCTGCAGCACAGAATTGCCTGTGTGTCTGTTTTCTTTTTGTCTCTTGATATTTTGTTAAAGCCAACTACAAATATCAGCTCTTTCATTATCACATGCAGCAGAGCTATCAGGACCTGTATTTGTACAGTTCTTGGCATTGTCTACATTGGCGGGAATTCTTTTAAAGCCTTTACAATGCTGTACCCAGTTTTCATAAACCACGAGAGGTCTTGTCATTTAAGAAGCGGACAGTATTTGCAGAATTCCTTGACTAAGCTGATCAGTCATACCTCTGAAAATGCTTTCAGTGTATGCCGTTGTCTGTTAACACCCTGCATCACCACACACACACACACACACACACACACACACAGGGCATCTGGGATATGAAGTTTCTTAACACATTTTTCTCTTTTAGTGACTGTTATGCAAACTTTCCATAAGAGTACTACTGATTGTGTTGAGTACGTGGGACAACGGTTTCACATGCATAAATCTATGTTAGATCCTGCTGCATAGGATTAAAGCAGTCTCTACAGGGATGAGCCATCTGATCATGCATGAACAGGAAGGCGGGAAGCAAGCTAGACACATCGGGTTGTCTTCATTGTTGTGCTGCATCAGCGCAAAGATTTCTGCTTGTGAAATGGAATGTTCTCCCCCTCTCATCTCTCACCCACCCTCTTACTATGTTCTAGGGGGTCCCCCAACCTTCTGTAGATTTGGGAGAAGTTCAGGGCACATGCTGGGGCAGGAGAAGCGTGGAACATACCATTGCGCAAGTGGTAATCCTTGCACTGACAGGACATGGTAGCCATTTTCACGTGTCAACTCAAGCCATACTTTTCTGATGGAGTTATATTTGATGAACTGATAGTTTGGCTGGCCTAATAAATGGCTTGTCCTACTAAGAATGTTTCGATTTTATTAATGTCTAACTGAGTAAATTTTACAGATCACGACGTGCCATAATTATGGTGCAAATCCACTTCAGAAATTTCTCAGGACCTTTCAACAGACATATAGAGGATACTCAGTTTTGTTTTGTTTTGTTTGTTCATTTGTTTAGAGATGAACTGCTGCTCCAATATGCAATTCCCCCTTGGCTTGAATCTTTATGTTTACTTACTTAGTACAATGTGGCATTGTAGTAGTATTAGTAGCAGTTCCAGTGGTGATTTCTTATCCCACCACTCAGTGTGTAGAAATAGAAAGTCTAGTCAGCATTGCTAAAATCAGATTCAGAAGCAGCATGTCTCTGAACACCTGTTTTTGCGGAGCAACAATGGTGGTGAGCTACTGCTTTTATGACTTAGCTCTGGGCTTCTCACAGGTAACTGATTGGCTGCTGTGGGAAACAGGATAGTGGATTAGATGGGCCTTTGGCCTGATCCAAGATGGCTGTTCTTAGGTTCTTATTGCTGAAACATATTGTCATGTGGTTGAATAACACTTAGGTGCTATTTTTTGTCTCTTCATGTTGGAAATTTCCACAGAGCGCAGTCTTACAGAATTGTTTTAATAAGTGATCGTGAGTTTCCAAAAATCGAAAAATCACATTGCCTAACAATCGAAACATGAGACTGACCACTCCTAAGTTCAAGAGGTGGAAAGCCATCATCAAGAGATGATGGGGGGGGGGGGATATTGACTCCAGACACAGTTTCAACTAATAGATGAGGGGAAAGTATTTTACCATTTCATTTATTGGGAGAGTCACCATACGATTACTTTAAAATTCATCAGTCCCAGGATTCTGGACTTTTACTTTTATCTTCATTCCAACACCAGCTGGAAAATCGAAGTGGTGATTCTAGCTTTCTGTAGTTGCTTGTGGCATTCACCATCAATATCTGAAATCTTTATTTCCATGGACTCATTGCAAATGATCGGTTCTCGCTGCTTGGCAAAGATGGATGTTTAGATGCCTGGAGCATAAGCCTGATAAGACAGGCATAGAGGTGATATTGGCAGGTTGGGGAAAATAAAAATTGTGGTGGGAAAGGGAGTAGCTTCATGTTATTTGAAATGAGATTTGTTTTTTTACTTTGAGGAACTAAGATGTCAAACAAAGCATATAATTCTGAACTTTTAAGAACCAAGGATTACAACAAGCTTAAACACACATTTCTGGATTTAAGTCTAACACCCTAGGGACATAGGAAGCTGCTTTGCACCAAGTCAGACCATTGGTCCATCTACTTCCAATAGTTATTTAAAGACCCAGAGTTCTACAGCACACTCCCTGTTCCCGACTGGGACATCTCTGCCTGTATTCTTTCGGTTTTTACATGGATTCCCATGTACTTCCAACGTTCTTGACTCGCACAGGAAGGATTCTACAAATGGCAACTGGGAAGGGAAAGTAGTTTTTCAGTTGCATTGAAATACTAGCACCTTGATTATGTCGTAGTTCTTTTTATGCTAAGGTCACCAGACGTTCCCATTTCCCGGGGACAGTCCCTGGATTTACAAATCAGTCCCCTGACAAAATCCATCTATTTAGTAGGAAGTTGAAAAGTGTCCCCGGATTCACTGAAAAAAATCTGGTAACCTTATTTTATGTGCACTGCACAGACTGGTTAATTTGACACTGTGACTGGGGGAATATGAGAGGGAACTGTTGAGAACAGAGCATATGACTGCATGCTCCGAATTAGCCGCTGGAACATTGATTCTGAGAGGATTATTGACTTCCTAAGTGATTTGTTCTCCATGGGGTATCATCTCGAGGCGCAGTCCTTTGTGTAACCATAGAACATAGCAACATATCCTGTGAATGGTGGGTGCATAGCAGTAAGCAGTTATGGAGAACACCAGCAGAGAAACGAAACCCAGAGTAGCAGCCATTTTGAGATCAGCTTGTTGTAGTAAAGAATTTGTAAACTGTTAAGTAAAGATTGCTTGTTTCACACTGCAGTCTCTGGTGGCATCGTTTTATATACATTTGCAACAGCAACTATTATGTGGTGTCAAGAAAGAAAGAAACTGAAAGTAAAACTGTGAAGCAAAAAATAAAAATGGTTAAAAAAATGGGCCAGCTTCAGCCTCCAGGTGTTTGAAGGAAATTCTGCAGAGATGTGTAGATAACAAAGACTAATGGCTTGAATCAGCACTATATTCTTCATGTGGCAGATGAAGTATTTCATTCTTTTCAGTTTGATGGTAATGCAGAAGAAGGGGAATCAAATTTTGATTGCCACATACAAAGCATACTGTGTACTGTACTGAGAAGACATGTTGCACTGGAATGGATCAAATGTCCAGGCCATGATCTGAAGGCACATGGTAGGATAACAGAGCTCAGCAGGTACAGTGGCAAACAGTGTTGTGAAGGGCAGGCTGGTAAACAGGCTTGAGGGCTGGGAGGGAAAGTGGGACTGTTTTGTCAAGGGAATGCTGCTCACATTGAGGAACCAAGCTTGGAGCTGCAGTTATGTAGAGCAACCAGAAGCTTAGCTCAGTTGGTTAGAGCATGGTGCTGATAATGCCAAGGTTGCAGGTTTGATACCCATAAGGTACAGCGGCATATTTCTGCATTGCTGGGGGTGGGACCAGGTGGTCCATGGTGTCCCTTCCAACTCTATGATTCTGTGAGATAAAGTCACCTAGGCCAACTGGGCTGATGAGCTGAAGTATCCTGTCTGGCCATTAAATTGGCTGCACTGCAGAACCCTCAGGCTGATTGCTGCCACACTGGGAAAGGAAGAAAAGTGTTGGGATTTTGCTTCCAGAGTCCCTGATTTGAGTTCCTTGAAACCTTTTGAGAAATATTCATGAAAATGAAGAAGCTTTGGGCTTGGATAGTGCAATGGTGCTTCATGGTTTGCCAAAATGGGTTGTTTCAGTTATTTGGTGGAAGAATGATAGCTTTATCACCTGGATAACTTTTGTAGGGGGCAAGGCTACATATTTGGCTTATCTTGGATATAAGACTGTGGGAGTGACTTCATTCCCTTCCCCCTTTTGTTGTCCATGTGTGCTTGAGGGTCAGTGATACAGGCTGCATTCAGACAGCACTTTATTCAATTTTCCCAATTCCTCCCCAATGTAATTTGCACATCTAATGAGTTATTTCATACAACAAAAAAGCCACTTCTGAAAACCTTGCAGAGTCTAGTGGAAGTTTAGTGCTAATTTCTGTGTTAATTGCTTCTAGGAGAAAAAAAAACCAAACCCCTGTTTGTAACCCCATTAACCTGGAAAATTGTGGGAATTTTGTGCTGCTATTTTCCCACCGTTTCCATGGATTGTGGCAAAATTTTATATTTCTGCATACTGTTCTTTCCCACAATTTTTGTAGTGAAAGAGAAGCACGCGTGCACATAAAGGCTGGCAGCAGTGACATTGTGTTTTATCATACCACATCCAGTGGCATGAAGGAAATTTAGCATGACATGGCAGTACGTCGGTCAAAAAGCCAGAATTCTCTAATGCAACAGGTCATTACAGTGCAAAAGGAGTATTAAACACCAGGACAGAAGCACTAGCATTTTTACCAGGAAAGCTAACACAATAATACCCATGCATGAATATCCCCATACTTAAGCTAGCTAGCCTCTGAAGGAAGCCCTTTCAGGAAAACAGCATAATTTTAATTTCCATTTAATGTTTCACAGGTGTTCAGCAACAGGAGAGGAAGCAGCTGGGGGTCGGATGCTACGGGGGGGGGGGAGAGAGACTTGCCCACCTCCAGCACTGTGTAGTGCAATGAATGGAGTAATAGTGCTTGATAAATTGGGCAGCCTTTTCAAATGCACATTTTCCTTTCAGTTTAGTTCCAGAACTGCAGCAATACTGCTGTCACAACAGAAAGGAAAAGCTTATAAAAGGTGCTTTAAAAACCTTATCACCACAAAACAGTGCAGAGTATTGCATAACGTAATACCTTAAAATACTTACCTTTTCATTGGAGCTGCAGCATATTTACATACATTTATATGGCCTACTTATTCCTTTGCTGAAGGAACTCCTCTTTCCTGCAGAATCTCCCCAAATATTGCGTACATTTTATATTATGTAGCTATTACTTTCTCATCTCTTTAGGTTATTGGACAGGTAGCCTTAGATAACACTAATCGTTACTGTTCCTTGCAAGAGAACACCAAGATGGAGAGGTTTTTCACAAGAATTGGCTGAGTCAATCTCTGCATAAAGTTTATGATCAGGAAGGATATGCTACATCAAATGAACGAGAGAAAGAAAATACAAAGAAAATCTTTTGTTCTGAAGAAGCGTGGTTTGGGAATATAAAGGGGGGGAGATGAATTTTGTCGCTTCAGAAGAGTAGTTTGGTGGGAAGACATTTTTAGTGAGCCATATTTTTATAATCTGGAGAACATCCCCCTGAAACATTAAATATTTTAAGACTCCCTATGTTGAAGATTTGTTTCATTTTGGGTGGTATTTTCTTTAAATCACAAGCAAGATGTTTTCTTTTTATGTCTGACTCTGTAGGCCTGTGCCAACATCACAGAGGCTGTCACTAAAATACTGGAGTGTTGGGACATTTATTATTATATATTAATTATTTATAAATGTCATAGATATCTGCAGAGTAAAGAAAAAGGGAAGTTAAGATGAGCATGCATTCAAAATGTTCCTGAGAACATTTTAAATATTCAGCTCAGCCACAACCAGGATACAAATTTCAACTGCAAGAGTCAACCGTCTGATGAAATGTACTGTATGTTGTTGCACTTAAAAGCTTAATCTAGATGACACAACAGCATGGGGTTTGTAGTCCTTTGAGCTGTGGAAATACGGATTCATTGGGCACATGTGTCATTTGGGCACATGAACATTTAACCAACTTCACACTGCAGCATGGCATTTGGATTGTTTTGGGTATGTAAAAACATATATGTTGGAGTTGAATGACTATGCAGAATTTAGAGATTAGCCAAGTTTAGACAAGGCAGATATCATCAGAATGTAGCTACTCAAATAATGGAACCTCATGCAAATAATCGTTGAATGGCAGCAAACATAGAGAGACCCTGATGTTCTTCTACCTCAAGTTAGGAGGTAGAATAATACACAAAATGCATTATATTAGGCAAAACTGCTAATAAATTTTCATGAGATCTTTTTTAGAAATAAATCACAACCTGATATGGAATGTGGTGAACTGAATTCAAGATTGGGGGAAAAGAGAAACCGAGAAACCAATGCCGACCAATATGCTCATCCCTACCCACAGGCATGGCAAGCAAAGGGCATGGTGTGAACATTTATATCACTGGGCTGAATGTTGTTTTCCTAGTCCCAGGTGTAACTTATCATGATCTTTCCTCTCCGTTGGCCATGGAGAACAGGAATGAATGGCTAAATTGCCTAGAGGAGGCAAGGCATTGGGAGAATGGAAAAGTGATTCTGTCGGCAGAGAATGGGTCTTGAGATGACACAATTTGGGTATAAGAAGGAGCAGCTTCTGGGTTCTGGTGAGATCTTGCGGGGCTCTCATGAAATATAGTACAAAACAATATAGTATTTATATAACCATCTCAGATTTTATGAAGGTCCATTATAGATTTGACCTGCTTATTTTGCAGGCTATGTTGTGTGGCTCATTATATAATTATGAATAACAGTGGACAGTGTAACATCATCTGTCCATTAATTATAATTATGAGATATTGCTACCTGGAATTTACTGGAGACAGTGGCAAAAAGCTAACTGACTTTGGTATTGGTATTGGTATTGGTTATTGGTATTGCAGGTCCAATAATTTGGGTTTAGGAGTCTTTTAAAGTGCCCAATGCAATTAAAATGCATGCAAAAACCAAAACACACACAAAGAAAAAAGGGCCCAACTAATCTTAGCCTGCTTTTTTAGTTTATATAGCTTTTATTTTTGTTTTTATGGCTTTCGTTATTCTTTTAAACATTGTTTATGGTCAGTCTGACTGTAAAAACAATCCAAGTGGTCACTTGCTACTTGTTTTTAGAGGTGCCAAGATGCAATAACTTATCTGAAATTTAGTTCCCCGAATCCCTTGCTGTGCCACAGAGGACACTAGAGAGCATTATTTGGATTGTGTAGGACAACCACTCAGGATGCCTTTTGCTCCTGTCCTGACAGTATTAAAACTATCTTCAAAATATAGGACCAGCCATGTGTTCTATAGCCTAATGCTAAGATTCTCCACACCAGGTTGGAGCACAGCCACAGATATCCCAGTGCAACATCACAAAACATCATGTTACAGTAATATACGGAAGCTGCCTGTTGGAAAAGCTGATAACAAGGGAGAAATCAATTCAGTTGGACTAAAGGTCACCACCCTGTGCCAAATATACAGATGGCAATAAATTGGACTGGAAAGGGCCAGCCAGGGAAAAAAAGCTTAGAGGCAGAACATTAATAAGTGAGGCTGTGGTCAAATCAGCTGCTGAGCACCACTATTCTTGACACTTCCACATCCAGATATACTGAAGAAGAAGAAAGCTGAAATCAGAGTTAACCAGAAATCCCAGGGAAGGAATATTTTTGCACTGGCCACAAAACTCAGCTGCTATCTGTGAGTGTAACCACTAGCAGAACTATCAAAGAGCACAGAATAGACAAAGGGAAAGTGGTACATTTGCTTCAATATCTTTCTCTCTCAACGCTTGGTGATTGGAGAGCCCTGGTAAAATCACTCCTCTGATTAAAAGCTAGACTCTTCAGTCACAAAAGAGTTCTCCATGCTCCATACCCCACCCTGACTTTTTTCTTACATGTCAAACCTGAGGAGAAAGGTTTCCTTTTTGGCTCCCTACTCACAGTTCTTTTTTCAGCATCTTAATCTCTGAAGTGCCCCGGGTTGCTTAAAGAGGCCCTGCCAGTAGCGGACTTTGTTGTTGTTGTTGTTTAGTCGTTTAGTCGTGTCCGACTCTTCATGACCCCATGGACCAGAGCACGCCAGGCACTTCTGTCTTCCACTGCCTCCCACAGTTTAGTCAAACTCATGCTGGTAGCTTCGAGAACACTATCCAACCATCTCGTCCTCTGTCGTCCCCTTCTCCTTGTGCCCTCCATCTTTCCCAACATCAGGGTCTTTTCCAGGGAGTCTTCTCTTCTCATGAGGTGGCCAAAGTATTGGAGTCTCAGCTTCAGGATCTGTCCTTCCAGTGAGCACTCAGGGCTGATTTCCTTAAGAACGGATAGGTTTGATCTTCTTGCAGTCCATGGGACTCTCAAGAGTCTCCTCTAGCACCATAATTCAAAAGTATCAATTCTTCGGCGATCAGCCTTCTTTATGGTCCAGCTCTCACTTCCATACATCACTACTGGGAAAACCATAGCTTTAACTATACGGACCTTTGTTGGCAAGGTGATGTCTCTGCTTTTTAAGATGCTGTCTAAGTTTGTCATTGCTTTTCTCCCAAGAAGCAGGTGTCTTTTAATTTCATGGCTGCTGTCACCATCTGCAGTGATCATGGAGCCCAAGAAAGTAAAATCTCTCACTGCCTCCATTTCTTCCCCTTCTGTTTGCCAGGAGGTGATGGGACCAGTGGCCATGATCTTTCAGTGGCTC